CCACTAAAATGATCAGAAGGCTGGAGCACCTCTCCTATGAAGAAAGGTTGAGGGAACTGGGATTGTTTAGCTTAGAGAAAGCCCAAGGGGACACCTCATTGTGCCTTCCAATATTTGTAGGGAGTGTATGAACAGGAAGGGGTATGTCTGTTTATGAGGGTGGACAGTGATAGAACACGGGGGAATGGCTTTAAACTGAGACAGGGGAGGTTTAGGTCAGATATCAGGAGGAAGTTTTTCACACAGAAGGTGGTGACACACTGGAACAGGTCACCCAAGGAGGCTGTGGATGCCCCATCCCTGGAGGCATTTAAATCAGCCTGGTCTAGTGGTTGGCAACCCTGCACGTAGGAGGGGAGTTGAAACTAGATGATCATTATGGTCGTTTTCCATCCAGGCCACTCATTGATTCTATGAAATCTAGAGCAAAGGAAGCATGCAGTAGAGTCATTGCCTGGACAAGATTCTCAGATGTAAGGCTTAGTTCTTAGGTAGCTGTGGTTGAAACGAGAGTTGGATTTCACAGTCTCTGTGTCTTCCAGCTTGGGATGTGTTATATCCTATGAAAAGCCAGGTGGGCCTATGCAGCAGGAAGAAAGCAGCAGAGGCTCTGGGTGGCCTCATCAGGGACTACAGGGTCTCTTTTCTCCCTGCCAGGTAGCGTGGACCCAGCTGACCTGTGTGAGTGGAACTGGTTATGACCCTACTATGTCCCTGGAGGTGAGGCACTTTGAGCTGCCCCTTGTGCCTCACCACCTGATTGTCCACCTAATTGCTTTTGTCATAGTCCTCGCAGGGAACAGTGTTGTTCAGTGACAACTCTGTGCCACTGTGGGGGTTATTGAACCTTTAACCCATTGGGGGAAATAAACAAATACTGCATACTTTTCAGCCAGCATCAGCATCACACATCATCTGTACTGGGACAAGTTCTCTTTGTCCACTGTGGGGATTAATCCTAAAACGATGTATGTGTGTGTGTGTGTGTATTTACTAAACAAGTGACGCAAAAAGCAACTGATGCCCAGACAGTCCCCTTGCAGCAGCAGTGCCACCAGCCAAATCCCCTCGGTTTTATAGTTTTTTTCACTTGATGCCTTATGGCCCTTTGGCTGGTTTGGGTCAGCTGTTCTGGTTCTGTCACCTTGCAGGTCCTCATGCAGCCTTAGCCACTCACTGTCAGGACAGTACAAGAAACTGTTTAGTCCTTGGCTCTGTGCAACACTGCTCAGCAGTAAGTGAAACATGGGTGTGATACCAATATTTTTCTCCTGAAAGCCAAAACATAGCACCATACCAGACACCATGAAGAAAATAACTCAATAGAGCAGAAATGTGCACAGTTGTATTTAGTAACATAATTACATGCAAATATACCTTGTTTGGGAAATACTTTACGCTTACCACTTATTAAGAGTGTAGTACTTTCTGATCATGTTGCCAGTTGCAACAAACCCAGCTCTAAGCAGCTGAGACGGTTGGTGGGCTGGTCCCACCCATAAGAAGTTGGCCACAAAGATGATTAGAAGGCTAGAGCACCTCTCCTACAAAAACAGGCTGATAGTGCTGGGACTCTTCAGTTAGGAGGAGAGAAGGCTCCAAGAAGACCTGATAGTGACCTTCCAGTACTCAAATGGGGACTACAGGAAAGCTGGGGAGGGACTTTTTGTAAGGAAGGGCAGGTAGTGGCAGGATGTGGGGAAATGGTTTTAAACTTGAAGAGGGTACATTTAGACTAGATACAAGAAAGAACTTCTTTACTGTGAGGGTGGTGACATGCTGGAACAGGTAGCCCAGTGGGGTTATGAATTTCTCTGCCCCTGGAAACATTCAAGGCGAGGCTGAATGGGGCTTTGAGCAAGCTGGTCTAGAGGGAGGTGTCCTTGCTTATGGCAGGGGGATGGAACTTGGTGATCTTAAATCTTCCTTACAACCTCAATCATTCTGTTATTCTATGAGAGCATATGCCCTCTATGTTTTTTAGGTTTGAGGGATTGTCCAGTGCCTGTTGAACTTCTTAAAGAGTTTCTGCCTTGCCGTTCTGCAATATTTAGATATATTTATGTTATTTAAATGATTTTTTTTTCCTTTTTTATTTTTCTTTTTCTTTTAAACAAAGCGTGTGACCTGTGCTTCAAATAGAGTTATTTGAGCCTTGGCAGTGCAGATTTTATGTTGCAGGTTTGGCAATGTTTGCCACACTAGAAAAACAGGACTAGGAGAAAGAATGAATCTCGTTTCTTAGCATTCTAGCTAGCCAGTTTTTATCCCTGACCCATGTCAGAACTCTATCACTACTCTGCTGGCCTCCCGGACAGCAAATTGCCTTTTCAACACTGTTTCACAGAACTGAATAAGGCCAGTCAGAAATGCTACAGTCTCTGATGCCACCACACCCACCCATCCCAACAAAACAGAATCTTGTGGAGTTTGTCTCCTACTTCTGGTTTGCTGTAAACTTCAAGTAGCAAAACCTCTTCTGCTTCATCCACTTGGGCAGATCACGTTTTATGATTTAATTTTCTCTACCTCTTGGATCAGAAAGTGTCTTCCAATTGATAAAATGACAATAATTAACTCCTCGACATTTCCCAAGCTCTGTTTCTCATTACTTGAAAACCACAACTGCTTCAGGAAAGAACTTATGCCACAGAAAGTTTCAGTTATGAAAGATTAATAAATAAAGACTTTGATATTTGAAAAATAGCCCTGTGCAGGTTTTTTGCAACTATAATATATTTTTGTTTCTTACGAGAACTGACCAAACTCTTATTGATGTCTGAACTTATGTTTTTGATGCACTCCTTTGGGGAGCATGAGATCATTCATCACTAAAGCTTTTACATTGTGAAAGAAACTGAAGTACTGAACTGAAAAAGTAATTTCTGTAATTTTCTATTCTTAGAACTGTTCTCTTCCAGTTCACAATAAAATAGAGCAGGTTATAAATTTCACTCTTCTATACTTTGTTGTGTGAGAGTCATCCTTCCAGCAAGCAATTCCAGAATGAGTATTTCTTCTGCTACTATCATCTATGTGCTTCTTCGTATTGAATCATTTGTTCAAATATACTAGTGATCGGGTCATTTTCTCCTTCCTCGGACCAGAAAGACAAACAAACTACTCTATGATGTTCAGTTATTCAAACTTACTAAATTAATTTCTTTTTACCCTCATTTCTTTCAATTGGAGTTTCTTTGTAACATCCACAAGATAAACAGGGTAAGGTTGTTGGGTTTTTTTTCATTCATTATGGCAATTTCTCTATGGCCCAGGTATAGTGTGAGATAACTTGGAGGGAGGAGAAAGACAAATCAAAGGGAAATAAGATTTATAATGTTACATGGCGGATTTAAAACTGCATATAAATTTAACATCTGCAGGATAAGATTTGTGCATGACCTATTCCAGTTTCTTCTCGCAGATTAAATGTTTTGAAATATTTCCTGTAACGTCTTGAGATGCAGCAATGTGTATGTTATTTGGCCTGCATATTTACTCAAGCAATAACCTCAATACTTA